AGATACAATGTGAGTAGCTTTTGTATGTTTTATAACTTCTTTTGCTCTTCTATAGATCTTTTTGCAGAGTGTCCAACTTCATGATGGCATTAAGAAGCAAGTTTAGCCATAGGATGAAATTCCTATTGGAGAAATACGTGGATAATTATTCATTATGATCTCCCATGCTGCTTTTATGTTGCTTGCATTGTCAGTCAGCAAAGCAAATACTTTACTACTCCTAATCTTCTGTAGGACTTCACATATTTTACTAGTGATATATTTTGCAGTATGCCTGTTTCAGTTCTTCTGTAAAAAAATGGTTGAGGTGATGTTATCACAAAGTTCTCCCCGCACATTTGTCTATCCATCTGTAAGTACTGCAAGACACAGTGCTTTGTTGATTTTTCCTTGCAAAGAGTGAATTACATGTTCATATTCTGACTCTAAAAAAGGCTTGCTCAAAGAATGTCTGCTAGGCAAAAGGTATGATGGTCTTAGTAATCTAAAAGCTTCCTGCCATTATGCATTTTCAGATTTTGACAAGGGCGTCTGTGAAGGAGTGAGAAAAAACTCATAGCATGGAGGGCCAGCAGGGCTGTAGCTGGAGACCAGAACGGAAGAAAAATACCCACCACACTTCCGGAGCAGCATCTCTTTCAGGATTGGAGGAGGGAGGCTGCCCAAAGGTATTTCTGGCCCCGTAGAGGGGCAGAGAGGGGTCAGTCCCCTGCAGGCCACAGGGAGAGAGGAGCAGCTGAGCGTCCCAGCAGGCAAGGGCTGCAGAACTTGCCTGAAGAATGCTGTGGGAGTGACCCTGAGCAGGAGGCAGGCGGAGGCCTGCACACACACAGCTGGTGGTAATCTCCAGAGCGGAGCTGCAGCTCAGGATCCAGAGAGAGGGAATCCACAAGGCCTGTGATAATCTTCAGAGCAGAGTTTTCAACAGAGGATCTGGAGGAGGGCCTGAGGGAAAACTAGTTACAGGTAGGGCCTTCCTGGACATGGGGGAGACCCCAAGGAAACTGTGAATGTTCATAGGGGTGCAGGGCAGCCCGGCACATAACAAAGACTGGACTAAGGGATTTTCTTGATCATTGTGATTGGGATTTTGGGAACCTGATCCTGGGTAAAGGGGACATGGATGGAGCCCGACAAGGAGGCTGAGAGCAACCGGGGTTTTCCTTGGGTTTTTTTGCCTTTTCTTTTGATATGTGAGCACAGGCCAAGACCAGCCCTGGAAGGGTGTACCTAATCGAGACCAAAGGTCACCCTGGGGTAGAGAACCAAATAAGACCACAACAGGCAGCACTGCAACCTGGCTGCAGAAGAATTTTGTGAGTACCATCTGGAGAGGCTAGGCTGGGTTAAAGGGGAGGTTTGGAGCCCCACAAAAGAAAACAGGGATCAAGACCAGGCAGGATCATCTCAGGCAGTGCCTCCTGGGAATATATTTTATCAAAGTTGTGGCAGGAAAAAAACCATAAGACCAACTTCCTGGCAGACCAGGTTATCCAAAGCCAAGGTCCACCTTGTCATTGCCTGTAGGCAGACGAGCTCAGGGTAGTGGTAGCAAGCCCTACAACACATACAGCTGTCACAGCATCCCAGAAAAATATATTGCTCTTGCAAGAGCTTGGTCAATTTTTTCGTGATCTTCAGGTGTTATCTTATGAACAAATGAAGCTATTAAGAGTCTTTTGTATACAGTTAGTTGCAATATTTAGTTACTTGAGGATGTTGATTGGGCAACCCTTTGTGATGCTGATGTTACAGAAGAAGCAGCAGCAGGAGGAAGACTTCTGGATCAAGAATGCTGGAAAGAGCTACTTGCACTTTCATCATCATCATCTACCTCCTCCTCACTTACACCCATGAAGGATTTTTTAATGTCTGCAGGACACTTCTTATACACAAGGATGTGTTTGGTCATCCTAGTAGCATTTGAAAATGCATATTTCATTTGACAGTATTTGAAAATCACAATTTTTTTTCTCAAAATAACTTGCAGTGTGGAAATGCTTCCATATGCTAGAAGTTGGTCGCACCATTTTGCTGAGGGAGAAAAAAGAAAAATGTAATTTAGTGGCTAGCTTGCACATATAAACTTAGTACAAATTTAGTACAAATTTACTAATGTATGGAGGAGAGGCCTTCTCAGAGTTAACTGTGAACAACTTCCCTGTCCTACAGGCCTCATCTCACTGCTAAGGTTGGGTGATTTTTTCACAAAACATCAGATTAGTAGGACTTCAATTATGAATTACATAGGTTATGATAATATACTAATGCAGCTAAAATATAGTTTAATATACTGTATTCAGATACATTTAAATGCTTACCTTTCAGTAAAGAATTATACTTTCTTTCAGTTTCTTTGTGCTCCTTCTATACTTCTGTGGATCTCAAAGTCACAGGGCCAGGAGGAAGCAGGTTCCTTCCAACTCCAAAACCTTTGGATTTGCTCTGTCTCCTCTTCTGAGGCTTTTGAGAAAGCACGGCAATAAGCTCCTTGTTTCTAATCTCTACAGGAACAAATGGATGCTGCTGCTAGTGTCCATTCCCAGTCCTTTGAGGCCTAGTCAGAAGGACAGGAGCAAATCCATCAACCTCTAGATCAAAAGTCACCAATAGAGGAAGTCCACAGGCCAAGAAGGCACTGAATCCTTCTTCCTTCTCTTGTGAAAATGGTAGTGCCCCCTGGGGGCAGAAATGCCTCTTGTTCTTGCATTTGAGAGTTGTACTGTACTGCTTGTCCTCGGTGTACAGGAATTGTAATGAACTGATACTGTAGATAGTTTTACATAAAATTCTTTCTATTACATAGTGCACCTACCTGGCCTCGTGTAGATGCTCCCTGGCCACCTTGGAGCATGTGCCTGGGGTCTACCATGGTAACTGCTCCTGTGGCCTTGATATTGGGTCATGTTCTCCCCAAGGGAAGCCCCGACACTCACCTACCATGACTTGGATCTTCCGTTCAGTTGTGGGGCTTCCTCCAGTCACTCTCCGCAGGTCAGGCATTACTCTTAGTGGGTGATCTTGGGGCTCCACCTCCCCTACACCCCAACCATGCCTCATAGGGCAACCAATCAATGGTCAGTCAACTCGCCCTCCGGTGTTGTCTCCTGTGGCCTCTCCATCTGTCCTGATCCCAGTCTTCTTTACTCCGCCCAGGTGTCCTCAGGACAGTGAACTGTCCTTGACGGTGTGCTGGGTCCTCTTCTCTGCACCAACGTTCCCAATGCAGTCCTGGCTTGCTCCACCCTTCAAGTAGTGCTTGCAGCCCCTTTTACCTGCCCTGGGACTCAGGAAAAGATTAAGAAAAGAAACAACTAACTGAAACTCTGGAGGAGGGTCTCAGCCCATCCCCACTCATGTTCCTGGCATCTGCAGACTATTGTCCCTTGACGCCTTCCTCCCCAGTCTGGCTTCCCTGCCATCAGGGGTTGCATCCCCTTAATTACTGTCGGACGCTTCTGAAAGGTCCCTCCTTGTTCTCTTGCCCTCTTGGCCGTGCAGTCCTTGCCCAGCTCAGGGGACGGCTCCACAGCCTGTTCTCTGCCACATCCCCACAGCTGCTTCCCCATCTCCAGCCTTTATCTCTGCCGGGTGGCATTCTTGGATGACATCATCTCCCCACACCAGTCTCAGCTGCAGAGAAAAGTGGCTGACAAACCACGTGGGCATTCTGTCTTGGCATGGCTCATCTGGCCCAACTGTTTCTGAAAAAGGTATATTTGCCCTGTCTTCAGGGCTTTTTTGTTTGTTGTGGGGGCAAGTTGTTTCTGCCTTGAGCCCTGCCACAGAAGGGGTCTCCTGCCTCTTTTTTTTCATCCCCCTGGGACACAGTTATTAGAAAACATTTTGGGGGAGTAAAGGATAGCAATATATGAACACCTTATCTTAAAAATGTTATTCATAATTCTAAAATAAAATATTTCATAAGAGGTTTTTTTAATTTTTCCAAAACTTTTCAATTTTTCCGAGAAAAACAAAAAAAAGTCCCCAGGAAAAAAAAAAGTTTTTTCTGAATTTTTATGGGGTTTTTTTTGGACCTTCACATCTCTATGATGCACTACTCAAAACACTTGGTTGAGAATGCAAATGGAGCAAGCATCCCTCTCCCTTGCTCCCTCCTGCCTTGAGGGGATTGGCCACCCACTCCTGTGGAAGAGGCCGCAACCACATAAGATGCATGTAGTGTGCTGAAGGATCGGGGTGGGGAGGGCTAAAAACCTTTGAAGGATGGGTAGTCTGCTGTTGCATGCAAGTCATGTTACCCTCCTCCCCCTACCCACCCTGCGTGGACACAGGAACCCCCACAGTCAACCCCATGACTCATCTTCTCCCTCTAAGAAACAGCCCTGGACTACATGAACTGAGTTTGCTAGGGTGGGGGACAAGAGTTTAGGCTGACTTTTGGCACCCGTGTCAGCATATGTCATGGTCTGCAACAGCAAAACCAAAGCTGTAGCCGCTTAGAGGGGAACCTGAACTGCTAGTGGTCTGCACTGACTGACCAAGCAGAGGTATGATGATTTAAAAGATGCTAGCTTTTTCCTTTCCTTGCTGGCTGGCTTGAAATGCATGGCCTGTAATAAAGTGTCTGTATCTATCCCTAATGAATTGTTGGCATGGGAGTGAATTCCATCACTGCTAATTTCTCAGGGTTGCTGGTAGGGTGGAAAGCTGGAGCTGGGAGTGCAGAGGGATTGAGTGGATCATCCTAATCTAAAGGCTTGTCTACACTTAAAAGACTTTGCTAATGCCATGGTCAGCCCTCCTCCCCGTGGAAACACAGATTACATCAGCAATCTTTTGCCAGTAGAATTTGAACCAGTTCCCATACCAGTATAGTTTATTCCATTAAAGGGTATTGTTGCCAGTATAACTGCATTAGAGTTTATGATACTACAGCAGTATTGGTTAGGGGGATATGATTTTTTTTTCATTCTCTTAACCACTAGCCAGGCCAGGAAAAACTCATACCAGAAAATTTTCAAATTTCATACTACATATACCAGCAGCATTAATTTATTTAGGGTTATGGTCTTGTGAGGGGATTAATAGGATGAAATTGTGAAATAAAAAAATTAGGTGGAATATTATACCTTGGCTGAAGAGAGTAAATCAATAGAGAAATTTAGGATTCAACTAGAAATAATTATATACAAGTTTTATTGGGATACAGAAAATGATTTTCCGAACTTGAAAACAAGCAATGAATAAGCTGATTCTTTACCTGTGGTCAGTCCACTACCCACAATCATTTTCAGATTCTGAAATTGAATTAAACAGTAGGAAATAAACAGCTAAAATCAGTAACTCATTCCCATTGCAAATATATTTCTAAAAAACACAAACTCTCTTCTTTTCCCTCAGAAGATTTGATGGATGCTGTAGATGTTCCTACTGACTATATTTTATGAGTGTTTGTGGGAAGAAAAGAGAAATGTCTAGCTACATGTTGGTCATTCTCATGATCTGCAGAAACTCCTGTTCGTTCACTTCCCCATCTCCATCCATATCTGCTTCATCAATCATTTCCTGCAGGACAGTAAAAGGCAGAGGCTGATCAAACATCTATCTCATAGGCACGTCTACAAAGATAATAAATACTGTGCAGGTGTTACTGAACATTTATTTATCACTGCACTAAAACTGAGCTAGTACTAGCAAGTACTAAAGAAATGCACAGTAACCAGAGTCACTGTGCAGAAGTGCCAGTGAATGTCTTTAGGTGATGCTACTACACAGCAGCCTAATAATACTGTACAGTAGCGTATTAGCCCTGTCCATGCTGTGACATGCTACTGCTTAGTATTTTTCAGCTAAATAAAGAAAGTAAATCCAAACTACTGCAATCCTACTGAAGTCACTAGAGAGGGCACAAGCACAACATGGAGGAAGAGCTTAGGAACTGTGAGTGTATCTACATGTGCAATTAATGCATCGAAAACTTACTGCATGGTAAAATACTGTGCAGTAAGCTTTCTGTGAGAACATGTCTCCATGTGCACCAGACAGGAGCAAATTTGCTCCCAACAGGAGCAGCTCAGGGCAGGAATACTCCTACTTGCTGTCCCACCATATGGCAGTCAGAGGCAGCTCTAAGGTCATAGAATCATAGAAAATTAGGATTGGAAGAGACCTCAGGAGGTCATTTAGTCAAACCCCCTGTTCAAAGCAGGACCATCCCCAATTAGATCATTCCAGCCAGGGCTTTGTTGAGCCGGGCCTTAAAAACCTGCCAAGAAAGGACATTCCACAACCTGTCTAGGTAACCTGTTCCAGTACTTCACCACCCTCCTAGTGAGAATGTTTTTTCCTAATATCCAACCTAAACTTTCCCTGCTGCAACTTGAGACCATTGCTCCTTGTTCTGCCATCTGTCACCACTGAGAACAGTCTAGCTCCATCCTCTTTGGAAAGATCCTTCAAGTAGTTAAAGCCTGCTATTAAATCCTCTCTCACTCTTCTTGTCTGCAAACTAAACAAACACAGTACCCTCAGCCTCGCCTCACAAATCATGTGGCCCAGCCCCATACCATTTTTGTTGCCCTCCACTGGACTCTCTCCAACTTGTCCACATCCTTTCTATAGTGGGGGGCCCAAAACTGGACACAGTACTCCAGATGTGGCCAGTGCAGAATATTGCACTTGTCCTTGTTGAACCTCATGAGATTTCTTTTGGCCCAATACTCCAATTTGTCTAGGTCACTCTGGAGTACTGTGTCCAGTACTGGATGCTGCAGTTCAAGCGGGATGCAGACAACCTGGAAAGGGTCCAAAGAAAGCCACTGGTATGACTGGAGGCTTGCAGGGAAAGCCGTATGAGGAAAGGCTAAAGCACCTTAACCTCTTCAGCCTCTCCAAGAGAATGCTGAGAGGAGACCTTGTGACAGTGTATAAATTCATAAGGGGAGAGCAACACAAAGTAGGTAACGATCTGTTTACCAGGGCACCCCCTGGAACAACAAGGAAAAATGACCATAAGCTACTGGAGAGAAGATTTAGACTGGACATTAGAAAAAAGTTCTTCACGGTCAGAGTTGCCAGGATCTGGAATAAGCTTTCTAGGGAGGTGGTGCTCGCCCCATCCTTGGGAGTCTTCAAGAGGAGACTGGACAGTCACCCGGCTGGGATCACATGATCCCAGATTTGGTGGCCCTTTTCTTGCCTGCCAGGGGCAGGGGGTCAGACTAGATGGCTCACTGAGGTCCTTTCCGGCCCTAGAATCTATGAATCTCAGCCCTACCCTCCAGCAATGTTATTTACTACTTCCTCCAGCTTGGTGTCACCTGTGAACTTGCTGAGGGTGCAATCTATCCCATCTTCCAGATTGTTAATGAAGATATTGAACAAAACTGGCCCCAGGACTGAACCCTGGGGCACTCCAGTTAATACCATCTGCCAACTAAAACATCATCAAGGAAACCATTACCAACATCCTAACAGAAGGTAATATTCGGAGAGATAGCCAACACAGCTCTGTGGTGGGTAGATCTTCTCTGACCAACCTGATTTCCTTCTATGATCAGGTGACACATCACCTGGACAAAGGCAAAGAGATGGATATCATTTTCTTGGACTTCAAGAAAGCCTTTGACCTGGTGTCCCATGATGTCCTCATGGAAAAATTGGGGAGTTGAGACCTAGACAATTTCACAGTCCGATGGCTGGGGAACTGGCTCTATGAACAGACCCAGAGAGTGACAGTTGGTGGAACCAAATGAACTTGGTGCACTGTAACCAAGGGTTGGTGCATCCCCCAAGGCTCCATTCTCAGACCTGTACTCTTTAATGTGTTTATAAATGACCTGGACTCAGGTATTATAAGCAGACTGACTAAGTTTGCTAATGATACCAAACTATGGGGGAGTACACCACCCTGGAGGATATGCTGGAGATCCAGGCTGACCTTGAGAGGCTTACAATGTGGGCCGATCACAACCTGTTGTCATTCAATGCCAAGAAATGCAAGGTGCTCCACCTTGGGAGAAAGAACCCGCAGCACACATATAGGCTTAGCAGTGCTACGCTAGCTAGCACCCCATCTGAAAGAGACTTGGGAGTCACAATTGACCACAAGATGAACATGAACCACCAATGCAATGCTGCAGCTGGCAAAGCAAACCAAACTTTGGCCTGCATCTTCTGATGCATCTCAAACAAGACCCGGGAAGTCATCCTCGCACTGTACTCAGCTTTGGTGAGACCACAGCTGGAATACTGTGTCCAGTTCTGGGCTCTGCAATACAGAAAGGATGTGGAGAAGCTTGAGAGAGTCCAGAGGAGAGCCATGCAAATGATTAGAGGACAAGAGAGAAGGCCTTATGAGGAAAGGCTGAGAGACATGGGACTCTTCAGCCCGGAGAAGCGTAGGCTCAGGGGTGACTTGATGGAAGCCTGTAAGTATATAAGGGGTGTGCAACAGGAACTGGGAGAATGTCAGTTCACCAGGGCACTCCTTAGGAGTAGTAGGTCCAATGGTCACAAACTCTTGGAAGACTATTTTAGGCTGGATGTAAGGAAAAACTTCTTTACTGTCTGAGTCCCCAGGGCCTGGAATAGACTCCCACCAGAGGTGGTACAGGCACCTACTCTGGATTCCTTTAAGAAACACTTGGATGTCTATCTTGCTGGAATCATTTGACCCCTGCTGACTGCCTGCCCCTTCTGGCCCTAATGTCTATGAAACTAGACATTGAACAATTCATTACTACCTGTTGAGCCCAACAATTCAACCAGCTTTCTATCCACCATACAGTCCATTCATCCAACCCATACTTCCTCAACTTGCTTGCAAGAATGCTGTGGGAGTTGGTATCAAAAGCCTTGCTAAAGTCAAGATATATTACATCCACTGCTTTCCCTGCATCCATGGAGCCAGTTATCTCATAATAGAGGGCAATCAAATTGGTCAGGCATGACTTGCCCTTGGTGAACCCATGCTGACTGTTCCTAATCACCTTCTTCTCCTCCAAGTGCTTAGAAATGGATTTTTGAAGACCAGTTCCAAGATTTTTCTGGGGACTGAGGTGAGGCTGACTGCTATATAGTTCCCTGGATCTTTCTTCTTCCCTTTCTTAAAGATGGGCACTATATTTGTCCTTTTCCAATTGTCTGGGACCTCCCCCAATCACCACAAGTTTTCAAAGATAATGGCCAGTAGCCCTGCAATAACATCAGCCAACTCCTTCAGCACCCAGGCCCATGGACTTGTACAAATCCAGCTTTTCTAAATAGTTCCTAACCTGTTCTTTCACCACTGAGAGCTCCTTACCTCGACACCAAATTGTGTTGTCCAGCACAGTAGTCCAGGAGCTGACCTTGCCCGAGAAGACCAAGGTAAAACAGGCACGGAGTACTTCAACCTTTTCCTCATTATCTGTCATTTGATTGCCTCCATCATTCAGTAAGAGACCTATACTTTCCCTGACCCTCCTCTTGTTGCTAACATACTTGTAGAAACCCTTCTTGTTACCCATCACATCCCTTGCTAGCTGCAACACCAACTGCGCTTTGGCCTTCCTGACTTTATCTCTGCATGCCCAGGCAATATTCTTATACTCCTCCCAAGTTGTTTATCAAAGATTCCAATTCTTGTAAGCTTCCTTTTTGTATTTAAGTTCACCAAAAAGTTACCTGTTAAGCAAAGCTGATCACTTGCCATATTTGCTATTCTTCCTGCACATTGGGATGGTTTGTTCCTGTGCCCTCAGTAAGGTTTCTCTAAAATAAAGCCAGCTCTGCTGGACTCCTTTCCCCTTCAGACTGGCCTCCCAGGGGATCCTGCCCATCAGTTCCCTGAAGGAGTCAAAGTCTGCTTTTCTGAAGTCAAGGGTCCATACTCTGCTGTTCTCCTTTCTTCCTTTTGTCAGGATCCTGAACTCAATCATCTTGTGGTCACTGCTGCCCAATTTGCCATCCACTTTTACATCCCCCACCAATTATTCCCTGTTTGTGAACAGTAGGTCAAGAAGACCATGGCCCCTAAGTTGGTCTCTCCAACACTTGCACCAGGAAGCTGTTTCTAACACTCTGCAAAAACTTCCTGGATTGTCTGCGCACTATGGTATTGCCCTCCCAGCAGGTATCAAGGTGACTGAACGTGACTGAAGGTCAAGGTGATTGAAAGCCCATGAAAACCAGGACCTGTGATCTAGAAACTTCTGCTAGTTGTCTGAAGAAAGCCTCATCTACTTCCTCCTGGTCTGGTGGTCTATAGCAGACACCCACCACAATATCACCCTTGTTGCTCTCCTCTCTAACCTTAAACCAGAGACTTTCAACAGGCCTATCTCCAGTTTCATACTGGAGCTCTGAGCAATCATATGGCTCTTTTACATACAGCACAGCTCCTCCTCCTCTTTTCCCCTGCCTGTCACTCCTGAATAGTTTGTACTCATCCATGACAGTGCTCCAGTCACGTGAGCTATCCCACCAAGTCTCTGTTATTCCAGTAACACCACAGTTCCTTGATTGTGTGAGGACTTCCAATTCTTCCTGCTTGTTTCCCAGGCTCCATGCATTCATGTACAGACACATGAGGTAACTAGCCAATTACCCTAATTTCTCAGGAAAAATGAGGCCTCCCCTGTTGCCCCCTCCTGCTTCTGCTTCCTCCAGGTCCTGCTGCTTCCCCACGTACCTCAGAAAGGCAGGGGACACCAGGGTCAGGCCTGGGCTCTGCGGGGCAGCTGTTTCCCAGCCCCATGCCCCAATCCACCAAATGGGGCAGGGAATTTGGAAATTAACCCCACCCCTGCAACTGTTTCCCAACCCCCTGCCGCAGTCAGCTGGTGGGGCAGCTGGCAGCGAGCCCCCGGATGGACACAGAATCCCTGCCCACCCAGGGGCTGGCTGGGAGCTGTCCTGCCAGTGGGGCAGCTGGCAGCGAGCCCCCAACTGGGTGGGGAATCCACGGCCAGCCCCTGGCTGAGCATCAAAGCAAGAGCTCCCCAGTCCCAGAGCTACTCGGCTCCCCACTCCTGTGGGGAGCCAGGAGCCCTGCAGCACTGAGATAGGGATGGGGCAGAGAGGATCCTGGTTCCCGCACTAATCAGGTCCCAGCTCCTGGGAGGAGCCAGGAGCTGAGCAGAGCCAGAACTGGGCCGCTTGCTGGTGTGGCTGACTTGCTCTTGGTCAGTGTCTACACTAGCCCTACTATGCAGTAACTTCTGCACAGTTATTTTAGTACATGTATTTACAGGTACAGGCAGCCCTTGACTTATGACTTTTGAGTTATGATGAATGGCGCTTACAACCTTTATAAATTTCCACCCTGTTTCAAGGTTCCAACGTGGATTTCAACTTTACAGCGCTCAACACTGCTGCCTCCACCTGATAAGTCTCTTGTGGTGAGGAGGAGGGGGTATGAATAGAAAACATAAAACAATGCATAATTTAGCATGGCCAATCATGGTTTTATCCCTGCTGCGAGCAAGTTTTTGGGTTGAATATGGCCACTTCTTTTGGGTCTTGTGATCCTAGCTGCACTGCTCAAACAATTATATCTTCTTTCTTAAAAAGGTAACCTCAACTAAAAGCCAGTAATGTATGCTAAATATAAAGAAGCTGAAATTTTACAAGTCATTGAACTGTAAGAATTTAAACAGATACACCTAGACACAATCAGAACCCAGCAGCATATTTTGTGGCCATAGGTTTATTAATAAACCATTACCGGAAATCTCTGCCTAATAACAAAGTACATGAGGAAAAATCTAGCTAGCAGCTACTGGTTTTTTTTTTGGTTCCTAAGTTGATATTTGGATCATTGTTTTTTGATCATACTTTGGAAGCATAAAGTTAAATACATACAAGGATTCATCAGTACATACATTATATCTGCTGGTACATACAGCATATGTCTACACAAGATGCTTTACTGTGCACTAGACTAACCTACCATGCTGTAAAACATCACCATGGGTCCATCTACACAAGACAATAAATGCACAGTAGACTAATTCTACTGCACATTAGCATGGCAGGCAAAAACCATGCTAATGTGCAGTAGAATTAGTCTACTGTACATTAGCATCACAAAAAGAGCATGTGCCAATGCTATTGCATTTCTTAGGGAATTGACTCTTGTCCTCCTGCAGTAACACAGAACATGTCATAGCAGACCCTTTCTGTCAAGTCCAGTATCCACCCTTTGACTGTTACCCGATGCTTCTGATGAAGGTAAAAATTCACTCTCCTAATTTGTAAACCATAATAGAAACAAGGAAAAGCCACTAGTCAAGTAAGTTGGATTCAGAAAACTGTACAGCTTACGTACTACCTAAATTAAACTTCCTTGAAACAATGACTCCCTCCCAAGTAAAGTGCTATGCATTACCAACCTGCAGTTCTTCATCTGTAAGATTTTCCCCAATCTCATTAGCCACACATTTGAGGTTTTCAAATGAGATTTTGCCAGTTCCATTCTGATCATACAGCTTGAAGGCTTTCAAAATGTCCTCTTTGGAATCTGGCTCCGACTTTAAAAAAAACCATTGGAACAAGGTTATAAAACCGTGAAGGGGAGCCGCCTCCTGCAATTCTCTCTGACACACATTTGACTACTAGTTTTAGGAATCAGAGATGAGAGATAAGTTTGCCACTGCAGAGTTTATTTGTTATCACAATTTTACATTTCTCACATTTTTTAATGTTTTAATTAAACACAAACAAGGTTACCTGCACACTGCAGGAAAACCAGAGCTGATATCTTGGCAATGCTTCAGGTAAGAATTGAACCTTAACCAGTAGGGCAGTGCCTAGCAAGTATTCAAAGCCACAGGCCAGAGTAACCCAGCTTGGGCTCAAAGTGAGCCAGTGTTCTGACCCAGCTGCTGCTGTCACATCTCCTTGGCTACAGCATGGGTACAGCTCCTTTCAACCCAGGCCCAGAGTAGCAACTTGATACCCAGCTCTAGCGGGGATGTAAGCAAAAACCCCTGACCAAGCAATACCACCAGAGCTCCCTGCTTCCAAAGGATCCAGTGTTTCTGGGTACCATATGTACTGACCCCTACTCTAAGGCATAAGGGCCAAAGATGGTACTGATGGTTTTAATGGCTCTTCCAAAACAGTTTTCCTTTGGATATTATTTTTCTCTTGTTTATTCACTATAAGACTATATGTGTTAATTACTGCCTAAATAGTTAGACAACTTACTGTACAATAATAAAAACTTCGTAAAAAGGAAGAGACATGTCAACTGTCAAATGGGCTACCCTCCATTTCCTTCCCTCTTATTCTCTCTCTCTCTCTTTTAGTATTTCATTCTGGATAGTATTTTGAAAGGAAACTGCTGAACTCTTTCTTGTTGGATTCTGAGTGCCATTAACTGCCACTACAGATACAAGGAAATGAGAGTGCTTAAAGGGTGATTAGACCCCTGCTGATTAACCTGATTTACATACCATTTTCTGAGTCATTGCATGCAAAAATAAATCAAAGTTGATCTTCCCAGACCCTTCTTTATCAACTTCTGATATGATTTTCCTCATCTCATCTTTCTTGGGTTCATAGCCCAGAGCTCTTATGGACACCTGCAATGATGGGTAAAAATAGGGTGGCATCTCAGTGGGCAATATAAATAAAAGCAAATGGAGGTGAAAGGGACAGTTATACCCTAAGGCATATCTGGAGCCTTGCAGTGACATGGTATTATTGTTGTTGCTGTTATTGTTGTTGTCTTTGTTGTTTTTTGTTGTTCTTATTATCATTATTATTTATATTATAGCTGCTGCTGCTGCTAATGATGACAATAAAGATAATAGCAGACAAACAGCACGTCAGAGAGCCAGTGAACTGATAAAGCAATGCTTTACTATGCTGGAGGTACCTTGTTTTCCTCTTTTCATTACATTGCTTATGAAGTAAATGATCCCCAGAAAGTAAACATCCTGGTCTCTGCACACCTGGCCATAAGTGTTAATAAAGGATCAGAAACCATGTTGCAAAGGGGAAGATTCAAGGAGCTCAATCTGCCCTGCTTATCGAAAGGAGGTGAAGGGACAACTTGATTACAGTCTATAAGTCACTATATTGGGAACAAATCTGATAATAGGGGGGCTCTTAAATCCGACAAAGTTAGACCACAATCTAATGTCTGTAAGTTCAAGCTAGACAAGTTCAGATTTGAAATAAGGTGCAAATTTTTTAACAATGAGGGTAATTAATCACTGAAACATTTTACCATGGGTTTTGATGGATTTGCTACCACTGGAAATGCTAAATCAAGATAAGGTGTTTTCCTAAAGGATACACTGGGCACGTCTACACATGTGCTTTAATGTGCATTAGCCTATTTTAATCCTCATTAAAGCGTCACAAAAATGCTCTTTAGCTAATGTCCATTAAAATAGGCTAATGCACCTTTCTCTAGTACTTCAGAATGGAGGGAACTTTTACATGTGCTCTAGATGGAGAGGGGGTGGGTGGCACTTAAATTAGAGGGGCTCCAAGAGCCTCTCTAATTAAAGTGCTGCCATGTCTCCTGTATCAGCAGCCCCATGCTTAAAAATGGTGGTGGGGATACTTAAACGAAAACTTGTTTGGTGAGCTTTAATTCAAGCACCACCATTTTTAAGTGCCAGGACACTGATACATGAGATGTAGGAGGCTGCTGGAATATGGCAATTGCCATGCTCCAGCAGACTTGAGTAATCAAGTCTGCTCTGATGCACTGGAATTCCAGCACATCGGAGCAGCCTCTAAGCTCACATATAGGCACCCAGAGGTACTAGGTTTAATACACATTACCTGAAGTGCATTAATGAATATGTAGACATGACCACTAATGTCAGACAAACAGGAATTAATTCAGAAGAGTCTGATGGCTTGTGTTGGGCAGGAAGTCAAACTCAAGGTTCACAATTGTCCCTCCTGGCCTTATAATTCAGGACTCTATGAGCTAGGCTAAGGAATAGCATGAGAGTCATAAAAGCTATGATAGCCTTTTTTTTCATCAGTATGGGCTATATACATAGGCAGAGAAAGTGAATGCACATACGACTATACAGCTGCACCTGACTTCTCAGAACCTCTGAATTAAATTCCTACTATATAGACCACTGGCCTGTAGGCCAGATTCAGCTCCAGTGCCTTGCCATCCAGCCCACAGGGCTCCTCATGGATTTGTGGCCCTGCACACTAAATCCCAGGTGCAGGGCAGTACATGGCCTAATTCCAGTGTGCAGTGGAGGTGGCACTGGCCATAGAGCCCAATCTGAGGTGGAGCTGGCATGGGATCCCAGGGCCCTGAACATGGCAAAGGGGCTGGGAGGAGATGGCTCAGGGCCCCAGAGCCCAATCCCTGCATGCAGGGCCAGGTGGAGGCAGCACAAGATCCTGGGGACCTGAACATGGCACGCTGGGCCAGGTGGTAGAGTGCCCCAGGGCTCCAATCCTGGCACATGGAGATCAGCAGAGGCAGCACAGGATCCCAAGGCCCCGATCCCTGCATGTGGGGCCGGGCAGAGGCAGCACACAGTCTGGGACCCCAATTCCCACATAGAGGGCGAGAAGGAAGCGGTGCAGGTTCCCAGGGCCCCAATCCCAGCATGCAGGGCCAGGTGGGGGTAGTGTAGTCTGGATCCAGGCATGCAGGCCTGATCCTGTGACATGGGCTCCACTCCAATCTGGCCCACAGACCAGCCCTTCACAATTCATTTGACCTGAGAGGCCAAAAGGTTAATATATATCAATGATATATATTGACTTTATGCAGGAAATGGGGCACAGCAGAAAAGATCCTTAGCTGGGACAGGAAATAAGACTGTTTGCATGATGGCACTGTGAGTGTCCATAGATTCGACCTCAAATCCAAGGAGCTGATGAAGCCCCTGGATCCATGTTCCTGACTAGGCTTGGTCTATTATGCCATCAAGCAGAGATCAAGTTTTTAACCCATGGCAAAAACCAGCATGGGGAGTGAGGGGAAGAAGTGCCAACTGCCAGAGAGCAGGGAAATGGGGTAGTTAGTCTTACCTGCCCCAGGGACTCAAAGCTGCTGCTGGTGCAAAGTAATCTGGCCCACCCTGGTTGGTGCTGCTGCTACAGCACCGTAGACTCCCTGGAGAGCCACCCTTCTGGTGCCCATATAAATGGATGCCTCAGGCTGGTACCCAGCTTGCCTACCCCTTGTTATGCTACTGCCTTCAAGAGTCACATGGGAACAGGAGAGGCAACCATAAGGAGAGTTAGTGAGCAGGTGAGCAGGCCTAAGTGCAAGAAGAATGGAACTGAGAGAAACCCTGAACTTCAGAGTGGCTTGAAACAGTTATTTAGCCTTAAACACTATGGTACAGACATATTATGCTCTCTGATGATCTAGGCCCTTCCATGGTGACCTGTTTACTTGTGATTTTTTGGTAAAGACCTTGCCTTCAAGTCTTTAACATCTATCGTGCCAGTGCCATCGGTATCCAGCAAATCAAAGGCTTCTCGGAACTGTTGTTTCTGTTCTTCAGTGAGTACCAGCTTGGGGGCTGCCTTCTTCCTCTGGTAAATTGTCCCTGCTGATGGTTTCTTGAAGCTGGAAGCCTTAAAACATTAGTGAAAGAATAACTGCAATGATCTGTGTGGAGAGAGGGTTTAAAAAGTGAAAGAATTTCTTAGAGTGATATCTCTTATGGACCAACAACATTACATTCAAAAGCATTAGACAAGCTTTCAAATGCAACAGTGTTCCTCTAACCTATGGTTAGCCAGGGCTGCAGCAGAGGCAATGCAGTAAGACACAGACTTCTTGTTCTACCTTTGTCAGTTGGATTGAAGAGCCCTCTGTTCTCAATTTTTTTTAATCCTGAATAGTGTAGGCAGTATCAGATCACAAATGCTGTGTGTTGTTCTGCTCCCTACATCTCAAAAAGGATGTCATTGAATTACAAAAGTACAGAGATGGGCATGCAAAATGATCAGACACCTGGAGCAGCTGCCATATAGATCGGGAGAGACTAAAGCTCAGACCCTTCTGCCTGGAAAGGAGAAAGCTGAAGGGGGATATGACAGAGGTGCAATCATGAAGGGTGTGGGCCAAGTTAACAGGGAACTGCTGTTCACCAAATCCCAGATACTAAACCTAGGGGGCACCCACTGGAATTAGGGCCTTGTTACATGGTAGTTTTGGGCAGCTCCTTAACCCCTGGTGGATTGTCTGCATATGAACACCTGAAACTAGTTTTCAGCACTTGTTAGGTGGCTCAAGTGACATCATTCCAGGGCAGGATTCTCTCTGATATTTGTTACCCAGCTCACATTAACTGGCAGCCACCCCACCTGCACCTCCTCCCCGCCAGCCTGGACTGGACCCACCGCCCCCTCCCGGGCACCCTAGATCCGGCCCTGCCTCCTGCTCGCTGTGGCTGCCCAGCCCGTCTGTCTCAAGCGCAGGCAGGGAGGGATTCACCTGCCCGCCCAGCTGCAGCTGCCCGGCTCTCTGGTGGGCTCAGCCAAGAAGAGCGGCAGGCGGGTAGGTCAACCCTTCCCTGCCTGCTTTCCTGGGCCGCGCGATGCGGGCAGCACGAGGGGGCAGTGCAGGGACCCGGGGCGCTGGGGCGGGGGCCGGCCCCGGCCAGCAGGCGCGGGGGGCGTTTGCACCGAGGTGTAGCTTAGAGCAGCCTCCCCCCGGGGCGTAGCCCACGAGTGACAGTCCCGGCCCCGGCCCCGGCCCCGGCCCCGGCCCCGGCCCTGGCGCTGCTGTCCTCAGATCCCGAGCGCGGCGGCGGCCCGGCCCGGCCCAGCTCCGCTCTTACCATCGCGGCGCCGCGGCCACGGGCTGGAGGGATCCACGCTGGGAGACCGGCAACAATTTCTGCTCACCCCATCGGGTAAGCGCTCCGCGCCGTTGCTGTGGCAACCACGTTCTCCATTGGCTAAAGTTGGGGGGGGAGGGAAAAAACGCGCTGGATGGCGATTGGCCAAAGAGCGGAGAGGGCGGGGGGCACAGTAGCGTTGATTGGCTGAGGGGCTGACGCGGGAAGAGCGGGCGTTCCAGCAGTTCGGTGGGAGCGGACTGCGGCTGCGGCTGCCCGGGGCGTGAGCGGCGCCCTCGGCTCGCTCTTCCCAGCGGGCCTGCAGGGGCGGGAGCCCCATCCCTCCGCCGGGCCGGGCTGACTGTCTGACACGTGCGTTTTATCTCTCCCATCACGGGCCTTAAGGACAGCGGAGATGAAGTTCCTCTAAGAACCACCTGCCCGGCAGAACCACGGCGGTTCTCAGCTCTGCTTCTCTTGGGGCCCATCAGGGCCTTGTGAGACCTTTCTTTGGGCAGGATTTTAACAGGAGGGGTTACATTTCGAGGCATTGTTTGGGGAGTTTGTTGCTTATTGTTGCTACATCATCCCAGCCATGGCTTTGTCTACCTGGGTCTTAAAAACTTCCAAGAATGGAGATTCCACCGGCTCTCTGGGTAACCTGTTCCAGTGCTTTACTACCCTCCTAGTGAGAGGTTTTTCCTAGTATCTAACTTAAACTTCCCTTGCCATAATGTGAGACCATTGCTTCTTGTTCTGTCATCTGCCACCACTGAGAAGTCTCACTCCATCCTCTTTGGCACTGCCCTTCAGGTAGTTGAAGGCTGCTGTTAAATCTCCCCTTGGTCTTCTCTTCTGCAGACTAAATAAACCCTGTTGCCTCAGCCTCTCCTCAGAAGTCATGTGCCCCAGCTCTGGAACCATTTTCATTGCTCTCTGCTGGACTCTCTCTAACTTGTCCACATCCTTTCTACAGTGGGGGCCCAAAACTGGGCGCAGTACTCCAGACTCAGGCTTGCCAGTGCCTAACAGAGAGGAAGAATCGCTTTCCTCCAGCTGCTGGCAGCACTTCTATTAATGCAGCCCAATATGCTGTTAACCTTTCTGCACTGTTGGCTCATATCATGAGGAATAGCATTCCTACACTCTAGCATCTGTAAAGACTGGGCAATTTTATCTAATAGCTGATTGAATGAGCTTTAGCTGAAAGTGCCAAAAACCCCTGCTAAAGCATCCAAGCTTTACAGATGTTTTAGAACCAGGTTGAAGTAACGCATTGCTTCTGCTGGTAAAGTGTGTGTGGGGGGGGTTGTTTGTTTTCTTAACATCTGCAAGCCTGGCCGTGTGGGTGCTGAGCACCCGCTAATTTTTTTCAGTGGGTGCTGTAGAGCTGGAGCACCTATGGAATCAGCACCTACATTTCCAAGAATGTTGTGGAAGACCATATCAGAAGCCTTGCTAAAGTCAAGGTATATCATGTCCGTTAGGGCTGTGTGAAACAGCACCTTTCTGCTACCTTTTTGATGAAACAGCGTTTTGTTTCATTTAGTTTCATTTCAAAAGCACTTTTCATTTCGTCAAAACAGTTTCACTGTTTCAACATTTTACACCATAGGCTACAACAGGGAAGCACGAAACTGGAGGAGCAGCCTCCTGTGATCACAGGCGGATCAGGGGCCCGCACCCCCTGGGGAGTCCAGCAGAGCCCCACAGCCCTCCCGGGGGTGTGGGCAGGAGGCTGCCACTGGCACTAGGACCTAAGCCTGGTGGAGGGAGGCTGTGCTCCACCTCCCTCCACCAGGTTCAGCGCCTCGCAGCTTGCAGCCCGGTGGAGGGAAGCAGGGCGCAGTGCTGGGGCTTCACTCCACTGGTCTCAGCAGCTCACAGTGCCATGGAACTAAGCCCAGTGGCAGGAGGCAGAGTGCAGCGCTGGCTCTGCCTGCCTTCTGCCACCAAGCTGAGCTCCATGGGGCTGGTGGAGACGATCAGAGCACATGCAGGAGGTGGGGAGAGCTAGGACTGTGCTCTCCCCCAGGCTGTGCCACATGGGGCTGCATAGCTGCTCGGAGTGCAGCCCTGGCTCTCCCCTGCCTCCCAACATCTGGCTGCCGCTTCAACATTTGAAACTTTTTGACTGGCCTCATTTCATTTCGAGACCGTTTCAAAGCCCTTTGTTTCAATTTTGCCATTTTGAGCTCAAAACGAGTCAAAACAGCATCAACATGAAACAAACTGTCGAAGCTTTGCACAGCCATAATGTCCACTGCTCTTCCCACATCCACAGTCAGTCATTTCATCAAAGAAGGCAATGAGGTTTGTCATGCCTGACTTGCCCTTGGTGAATCCATTCCAACTGTTCCTAATCACCTTCTCCAGGTGCTTGGAAATGTAGATGAGAGGGGACTGAATGATCTCATAAATGCATTTTGTATCTCACTTCTTCACTTGCATACTTCTCTTCCCATCACTTATCAATACTTCTCATATGTAAAACCCATTTTCAGTTGTAAGAGTGATGTATCTGTGATCTTCCAGAAATTATGCAAGAGGCAAGGATTTCTTAGGGTAATATTCTTTATTAGACCAACTACGTAGTTGAAATAACAAGCTTTCAAATGCATTCTACCTTAGGTCTAAAGAATGCCTTGCATTCAAAAGCGTGTCT